ACACCTCACAGAGGAAGTTCAGTGAAGGGGAGGAGATGTTAGAGAGAGCTTGTTTTCGTTAACCACTTTATCAGGGTCTCTAAGTCCCAGTGGTCTTTCCTCTTATTACTGCTCCCTTGTGGATGATGTAGACAGTGTTTTGCCTAAGTGGTTGGGGATGGTCCAGCGTTGGTGACATTTTGAGTGCTGTTTGTAGAAGGAGCTGGAACTATAGAGGCAGACCAAGGTTCAAGTCCTATCTATGACATCAGTCTCTGTGACTTGTGCTAGATCATTTAATGTCTTGGAGCTGCAATTTCCCACTTAGAAGATGGGCATGCCAAAATGTGCATATGCCAAAATGTGCTCACCTCCCAGGGAGTGGTGCTAACCAAAGATGATATGTGTGACAGCATCTTATAAGCTGTAGAAAGGGACATAAATATGAGTGGTTCCTTTAATTTCCCTGTTCTCCACAAGCAGACCTGAATTGTAGCAGCACCTGTGTGCTGTCATCACTTGGCTGTTGATTTCATCTGAAGGCTTTACTCATAAGCCGGTGGCTGGTCATTATACTCTGGCCTCTCTAGCAGTAGAGATGGTATATGCTCATTGCCGGACTGGTTCAGGGTACGAACACTGAAGCCCTGTTCTCATAAAAGAAGGAAACTTGACAGTATTCAGAAGGGGTGGCTCTCCTTCGATTTGCAAATCACACAATAGTAATGGGAAGCGTTTTGGAATCATGAGCTATTTTTTTTTGTGATATCATTAATCTAGTAGTCAATAAAACACATTCAGAAACCAAGAGAATTAGAGGTTGGCCAGGACAGAGTGAATGCTATAAATCAAGATTATCTGAAGAAGATATAAGAAATAAGGAATTAAGTCCTGGCCAGTTTGGCTCAGTGGTTAGAGAGTCGGCCTGCAGTCCTGAGAGACCCGGGTTCGGTTCCCGCTAAGGGCACGTACCTCGGTTGCAGTTTGTCCCCGGCCCTGGTCGGTTGTGCGGGTGGCAGCCACTCGATGTGTTCCTTTCACATCGATGTTTCTCTCTCTCTCTCTGTTCCTCTCTCTCCCTCCCACTCTACCTGAACAAAAAATGGAAAAATGTCCTCGGGTGAGGATAAAAAAAAAAAAAAAAAGAAATAAGGAATTAAGCCAAGCAAAGAGATAAGAAGGGGAGATATCCAAGAACCTGGGCAAATTTACCAACTTCTAGGAGGGGATATCTGAGTGCTATTTTTAAAAAATCACTCTGATATCCTAAGAAGCCTGAAACACCAATCAGAAAGAATATATGTACCCCTATGTTTATAGCAGCACTATTTACAGTTGCTAAGATCTGGAAGCAGCCCAAGTGTCCATCAATAGATGAGTGGATTAAAAAGCTGTGATACATTTACACAATGGAACACTATGCAGCTGTAAGAAAGAGAGATCTCTTATCCTTTGAGAAGACATGGAGGGACCTGGGGAGCATTATGTTAAGAAAAATAAGCCAATCAGAGAAAGACAGATACCACATGATCTCACTTATTTGTGAAATCTAATGAACAAAATACGCTGATGAACAAAATAGACCCAGAGACATAGAAAGAAGCACGGTTCAAACTGACAAACCTCAGAGAAGAGGGAGGCGGAGGAGATAAACCAAAGAACTTATGTGCATGTATGCGTAAACAATGGACATTGACAACAACACCTGGGCGGGTGGGGGGTGGGGGGGAGGGGCATCTGTAACAAAAATAAATTAATAAAAAATAAATAAAATGAATAAAAATTGCAAAAAAAGACCCCCCAATCACTCTGATAGAAACATTATATAATAAGAATGTGGTTTTCTAGCCCTGGCCGGTTTGGCTCAGTGGTTAGAATGTTGGCCTAAGGATGGGAGGGTCATGGGTTTAATTCCTTGTCAAGGACATGTTACAGGTTCAATCCCGGCCCTAGTCGGGGTCTTGTGGGAAGCCACCAATCCATGTGTTTTTCTCACATCGATATTTCTCTCTCTCTCCTTCCCTCCCTTCCAATCTATTTAGAAATCAATGGAAACATATCCTCGGATAAGAATCAACAAACAACAACAACAACAACAAAAGAACATGGTTTTCTTAATTTTTGTATGCTTCATGTAGTGACTCTTGGCTGCACTGGATTGCAGTGTTACAAGGGAAAAAGAGGAAAGAGATGTCCCTGTCAGTTGTGGATAGAATCAGAGACCTGTGCTCCACAGGTCACAGAAATGTTCCCAAAGACCTTGCCTTTCGGGTCTGGATCATGGACAGAAATAGAACACAGAAGGTGCTTATTAGGGAAGGCTTCATTTTCCCAATCTTTCACAACTGAAAAATAGAGCAAATGAGTGGCTACGTACAGACCCTTGGCACCAAGTGACTGGGAGTAAATGGAACACTGCAGGGACGCAGAACTTTGCCTGCCACTGAGCATATTACCGGGGAAATACAGTACAGACCCAGCAGGCTTCTGCAAACAACGCATCCCTTTAAGTTAATTGGTGTTATATAGAAGCTGAAATGCTCCGCTTATTTACAAAGCTACAGATTTATGTAAAGCAAAACCAATTACACTTAATGCCTAAACTATTCCAGGTGCTCAATGATAATGTTGCTAGGCACTAGAGAAGAAACTGCTGTGTGAATGCATCCCGTTCCGAATGGAAGCATGTGTAGTTACTGCAATTTAGCTAATCACGAGTGTCAACCCCAACGTGAGGATTCTAAGCTCTTTTGGTGTTTGCTTTTGGTCCACTTTATAATTCTGTAGATCTCTTTTCATCCCTAAGGACGAGTGAAAGCATAATGAGCACCTTTTTCTATTATGATGTAGAAATTAAGAGAGGAAGGCACATCTTGGGGGAAATAAAAACAGCAAAATAAGACAGACCCTTTTTCTAATGGTGAGAGAGACTTAGAGCTTGTCACTTGAAGTGAGGTGAGGTGTTTAAAGTTTTCTTGATCTTTTGGGTGTTCATTAAACTCAAATTGCAAAGTTGGCATTTAACCTTTTGTAACAAAGAAAGCATCTGAGGCATATCAGGAGTTGGGCTCACTGTTTTGTCAGAGAAAAAATACTACAAAAAGGATTCAAAGAAGTTACAGGGCAAGAATTTATGTCTACATGAGCTAGTTTTGTTTTGTTTTTCACTTGTCCTCAAAACAAGCCAACAAACAAAATATAGGTTTTTTGTTTTTTGTTTTTAATTTATGTTTTAATCCTCACCCGAGAACATTTTTCCATTTATCCTCAGATAGAGTGGGTGGGGCAGAGAGAGAGAGAGAGAGAGAAACATCAGTGCAAGAGAGACAAATCAACTGGCTGCCTCCCACATGACCCCAACCGAGGCTGGGGACTAAATCACAACCCAGGTACATGCCCTTGACCAGAATCAAACCCGTGACTCCCCCATCCATGGACCAACCACTGAGCCAAACTGGCCAGGGCAATCAAATAGAGTTTGAGTAAGAGAAACACCTGGTGCTTTACAGCTGCTCTTTTGCAATTAAAAATTCACATCATATCTAATCAAGATGAATAAATCTTTTATTCTGCAGATTTAAAATAATTTTGGTATGCACAAGGGAGGGTGCTTCATTGCAGCATCATTTGCAATCAGCTGATAAACCCACCCATCCTATCCAACATGAACTGTCTTGGAAAGAAGTGGTGCTCAAACTTCAGGGAACTTACGGATAATTTGGGTGTGTTTGTTCAAGCTCCTGATTCCTGCAGAAAGATTTGGGTTGAGACCGTCTGTGGTAGGGGCCAGAAAGTTCACCTGAAGCAGGTGGTCCTCAGTCAAACTTCGATGTGCACTGCTACAAAGATATGGGACATTAGTTTTATTTACTTTTTTTAGAAAATGAGTTTCCACTTTTTTTTTTTTTTTGCTTATACAGGAAAAATCTCTTTTGGAAGGCAATTTTCTGAATTGTTTGAATTGGTAGCAAGGGTGACTCAAAGATGTCATTTGGGCTAGGGGACCCCTTAAGCATCTCTATTTGGTTTGACCACTTGTCGTCCTCTCAGCACTCATTTAACCTTCCTTAATTTTTTTCTTTTATGTTAATCCTCACCCGAGGATATTTGTCCATTGATTTTTTTTTTTTTTTTGGATAGAGTGGAAGGGAGGGAGGGGGAGAGAGAGAGAGAGAGAGAGAGAGAGACAAAGATAGAGAGAGAGAGATAGAGAGAGAGACAGAGAGAGAAACATCGGTGTAAGAGAGGCACATCGATTGGTTGCCTCTCACATGACCCTGACTAGGGCCAGGGATTGAACCGCAAAGGTACCCGCCTTTGACTGGAAATCAAACCGAGACCCTCTGGTCCATGGGCTGACACTAACTGCTGAACTAAACCAGCCAGGGCACTTAATTTTTTTCTTTCCTTTGATGTCAGTAATTCCATCATTTACATTGATTTTACAACTTCTTCAGTATGTGGGTATTTGCTCTTTGTTAAGGTCCTCTATTTTAGTAACAATGCTTTTCAATTCTGAGAAAATTTCCTTAGTTCATGTCTTGATAGTGTACTATCAAGACCAAATATAGTAAAATCATATGTAGATTTACTCATGTTCAGACATAGATAGTATATGATCACAATGCCTGGCATATAATAAATATACTAAAAGGAAGAATATAACATACTTTTATTTTGATTCTAATGGCACATTAAAACTCCAAAAAATACCATATCTATTGCTTTTAATGCTGAACCATTGTAAAAATTGTAAAATATTGTGATGTATAGGAAACTGTCATTTTGTTGTTGCAATCACCTAGACTTTGAAGTTACTTTATCAATTCTAATGCATAGCATATAAATGCAAAAGCATAATAGTTTATTGGAGTCACAATTAGTCTTTGTAAATATAGTACACAAATAACATTCATAAAGCTACTCTTATACATGTCAGCTCAAACTAAAATGCATACAGTGTTCAGCTGAAGAAAACAATGAATACTTTGCTCATAAGACAGGTGAAGTCAAATATAGTTTCATAGGGCTGTCTCCCAAAGATCAATACTTGAAGAAAATTCCTGCGTACTGCCATAAAATTTCAGAGACTTTTCACGGAGGAGAAGTGTTTCTTCTAGATTACTTCCACTGATGTTCCGGGCATTAAAATGATTTAGATTACAATATCTAAAAAAGAAAGAAAGAAAGCTTTTTTTTAGGACCAGATGTAGATGACTTGATAAATCACTTGCTTTCCTCCTGTGCTTGTCTACCTTTTATTACGGGCCTATAGATACTGGCACAATAGTGATGATTATTTAAGAGCACTTCTCACCAAAACAGGCTTTCATGAAACGACAAAAGGAGTCTCAGTGCATGTGAAGGTGTCTCGTGAGGACCTTTAGATGGCGCTCTTCCCCAACTTGCAGCGAGAAAGCGAAGTCTGAAACCCTGTCAACTTTGCAGATCTCGTGCAGCCGGGACTCATGCTAAGTTTATCAGATGCATTGGGATTTGTAAATTTGGTGCTGAGACTGTGTGGAAAACATCACTGTCGAAGAAGAAATCCATGAGTATATTCCTAGAATGTGCACCCTCTACCTTGACCCAAGAAAAACCTAGTTTTCCTAGGTGTCTGTCTTCTAAGTGCTAAGTGCCACAGGAGTGTGGTATACAACACTCACCCTGACTTACTGAGTGCTCACCACAGCCCTGGAGAGATGGGCTCACCCCTTTCACAGGTTGGGAAACTGAAGTTCTGAGGGGTGAGATACTTGCTCAGGGTTCATGTGACAGTAGTTGGCGGAGCCTGGGTTTGGAATCAGAACTCTCGCTGCTTGGAATCCTGGCCCTTTCCCTCCAAAGACAAGCTATTTTCTTAAACACTTTCGAGCAAGCTTCAGGAGGAGAGGAATTTCAGACTGCTCTGTTCACCTCTCACTCCTGGTGCCCCGACCACTGCCTGGTCCACAGCAGATGGCCAATTGACACTCAGCGAAGGAACAAATGAATGTGGCCTCTAAGTTCAATTTTATCAAGAACATTTAATTTTCTGGAAACAAACATCTATTTTTAATGTGTAAAGGTTTCCATAGCGGATTTCACCTTCTTTTCCTTATCAATATATTGCCAAAAACAACTGTAGGAGAAGAGTATGCATAAATTACTGGTTATTTAACCTCAGAGGAGGGGAGGGGAGGGAAGAGATAAACCAAAGAACTTATATGCACAACCAATGGACACAGACAACAGTACTCTGAAGGGGGTGGGAGCAGAAAGAAGGGTGTCAGTGGGAGGAAAAAAGAGAAACACCTGTAACAAAAATAAATTAATGAAAAAAATAAATAACTGGCGATTTGCGTCTGACTTACGTTGCTTTCAGTTATTGTTATAGGTTATGCACAGATTACTGGTATCTTTGACAAAATAAGTGCAGTGAGAGATATCAACCTGATAAGATGTGTTTTATAACACTGGAGGGAGAGTGAGGTTGTTCTAAAACAAACACCCTTTTGCCACCTCCCCTGGAAACGTCTGTATTACCTTTAAATATTAGCATCCGATGAGAAATACATACTTATGTTAAGTACCATGGAGATGTTTATCTAATACTTTTCAGCAAGAAAAAGACATTTGTTTTCTACCTACTTATTTTACCCTCAGCCTGGAGAGTCTCAGATATGACATGTCATTATGGCCCTCCTTCAGATTTGATTGAAGACTCTATACAGACAAAGTCAGGGGACACTTTGTTGTTGTTGTAGAAATAAAAGGTATGTTTGGCCTGACATTCAGGGATAATTCTTAACTGTTTGCAGGTGATAGCTCAGTGACCCTGACAAGATTAGGATGGTTTTAGGACTTAACGCCAAGATTGCATCACACTAATATAAACTTGGGGGGGGGGTGCACTCTGGTGCTAACACAGAGCTAATGACACCTGCATATTGATGAGGATACTGTGTCATAATTAATCCACTTGGGGACAAGGATAGTTTGGGACTGTCCCGTTCTTGATAAATGTGCCCTTGTTATCTGGCTTGAACACCAATGGGTTTGGTAATAATTGGTCGTGATTGGATGTGTACTGTGATCAAACACTACCTGACTCATAAATATGTTTCAATAATACTGTCCCTAAAGCACCCGTGTCTTCTCCTGTTTCTTTGCATGCTTGTTCGTCAGTGTTTGACAATAACAATCAGTATAGAAATAAATTAGAATTACGTACTCCTCCCTGAGGTCACTGATTTTCGCACCTTGAATTCCGTAATTCCATAGTTTCTTGCCTAACTCCTGTGAGTTGGCCCATTTTATCCCAAAGGGCAATAGATACCCAAGGCAATGTTTGCCTTTGCTCTAATAGTTGGTTCTAGCTACTGAATCTCTGTAGGCAAATTTTCCAGACTCTCCCTCCTTCTGATATGTGACATCCATGCGTTTCCTGTGGAGTGGCTGATTAACAGATTATGGTGGTTATAGTTACTTTAACTAAAGGAACTGATTTCCTCCCTACCAGAGTTAAGGGGTTGTGTGTGTGTGTGTGTGTGTGTGTGTGTGTGAGAGAGAGAGAGAGAAACATCTATTTGTTGTTCCACTTAGTTATGCTTTCATTGGTTGACTCTTGTATGTGCCCTGACCAGAGATCCAACCTGCAACCTTGGCATATTGAGACAGTGCTCTAACCAACTAAACTACTCAGCCAGGGCTCTTACTTTGGTTTTTTTTTTTTTGATCCTCACAAGAGGATTTTTTAAAATGTATCTTCAGATAGAGAGGAAAGGAGGGATGGAGAGAGAGAGAAACATTGATGTGAGAGGGACACATCAACTCGTTGCTTCCCACACGACCCTGACCATGGCCTGAGACAAACCAAAACCGAGGTACGTGCCCATGACTGGAATTGAACCCGGGACTCTTTGGTCCGCGGGCTGGTGCTCTAACCACTGAGAAAACTGGCTAGAGCTCTTACTTTAGTTTTTTAAGTACAGTGTAACAGGGAGGTGGTCGAGATTAAACGAGGTTATTTGTGTGTGCTCAACACGTGGAAAATTAATTTTTTTCCCTTCCTGCTTATTCCATCCTCCCTTTTTCTCCTTCCCTTAAAAAGTATGCAGAGAAAGAGCAAAGGGAGTATACAGGAGATGAGGATGATTTAGTAAGAATCAGATTCATTTCTAAATAAACCCTATATAATCATTTAGTGCCTTCTCATCTTTGGTTCATCTGATCTTTGGTGCTTTGAATATTTTTATTCTTGCTTCCTCTGCATCCCACTCCACCATCTCTCACTTCTTTATAGTAACTCATTTGTTTAACAACCACAGAGAAAGAATCACACTTACATATTTTAATTTGAGCACTACATGTTAGCTTCATGCAGATGGGTGCTTTGCTTTTCCCAGTTCTATATTTCTAGTTCCTGGAACAATGCTTATTATGTTGGTTGAACGAATGAATGAATGAATGAATCCCTGAGCTAATCGTTTCTGATTCTAGTGCTAGTTCTATCTGAACTCAGCTCATAATCATGGTCATCTTGGCCACACTTCAGCATGAGTCTAGAAAAAGAATTAAAAGAAGGAAAAGGCAAAGTATGAGGCCATTATTATCAATATTGCTAACTTTCTGAGTGCTCCCTTATCCTCACAACGTTATGGCACAATTGCTATTCATATTGCTTCCATTTTACAGATAAAAACACCGAGGCCTAGCAAGGTTAAAAGCATGCTGAAGTTAGTACTGCTAAGTTGTAGGACCGAATTCAACTGGGATGCCTCTAAACTACTTCAGAAAAGGCAAGAGTCAAATCTTACAGTGGAAGAGCAAGTAAAACTGGAGAAACAGTACAGGCGTGTGAGAACTGGCAGATGGGCACCGGCTCTAGGCTTGGAGAGATGGGTGGGGGAGGGGCCTTCCTTCCGCTGCAGTGTTGTTCCTGACAGTTTTACTACAACGCTGAGGACACTCGTGCTGGGTCCTTCTGCAAGACTTCGAGTTTCTCATTGTGTTTTCAATCTCAGAATGAGATAAGCATTTTAGGGAAATTATACATCGTGGAGGTTCAATTTGATAACTTATACACTTTGGAAGGTAAGAAATTATAAAAGCTACGTAGCCATTAAGATGTCTTTTTCATTTGATTCTTGCCTATTTTATTTTTATTAGATTTATTGGGGTGACACTGGTTAATAAAATTATATAAGTTTCAAGTGTACAGCTCTATGCTACGCCCTCTGTATGAGTTTGTCATGAATCCTGCCTCTCTCTTATGCTGGACCGTAAGCTCCATGAGAATAGGTGGCATTCAGCATTATTGACTTACTGATTTTGTATCCTTTGAATTGCCTACAGCCCTTATCACATGACTGGTGTTCCAAAAGAAATTTATTAGGTGAGTAAAAGAATGACTTAGGCAAGGGAGAAGTGGCAATGGATGGGATCAACAAGATTAAATGGATACGTGAATAGAGGGAAGTAAGGAAAATGAAGATCTGCTTTGTTCCCACTATGTGGCGGATATTATGCTTGATCCTTTATCATAATTTATCTTCCTAAAGCCCACACGATATTGGTATTATTGTCTTTATTTTTATGTGTGTGAAAACAAAGGCTCAGAGTGGTTAGGCAGTTTGCTCAAAAGCACACAGCCATCCAAGAATACGTCAGAGAGGGTGAGGGGTGGGAGGGAGGGAGGGAGAGAGCAAGAGAGGTGTGACTGGCAATGGAGGAATGGTAGATGAAACACATTAAGCCCCTGAATGGTCTCAGGTGACTGGCTAAATGATTTTGCCCAGTTTGTTATTGACCTTGAAATGATCACTGCTGATTTAAAGGCCTGAATAAAATCGAAATCTTAAGCATCATTAGATTTCTAGCTATTTATTTAATGATATTTGCTTTTAATGATAATGATTCATTCGTTTTTATTACCAATCTGGTTATTTCTAATTCGAAAGTGGTACTACGTAACGGAGAAAAAAGTTTGCTTTAGAACATCTTTTAGAATCAACTAAAGCACTATCTTTATTAGAAGGATCAATGGAAAAAAAGTGAAGTCTGAATGGAAATTTCTGGCTCTGAATAATCTATTAAATTTCTCTAATATGCTAATTTTTCCAGTCATGGCATACAGGATTCCTGTTGGCTCAGTGATGGTTCCCAGATCAGTATTTCATGAACTCAGAAATTGTTCATCTTACCACATGTATACTTACCTTTGTGAAATGCTCCAGAATCCCAGGACGTTCAACAACATTAATGATGCCAAGAAGAAGAAGAAGCTTTCTAAATTGCCTTTGTTTAATGTGTTTGGAAACCAATTGCCTGTTTGAAATAAGTGTAATTGTTATTCAACAGCAGAGTTGTAAGTTTCTGTGAATATTTTATCATTCCACGATTCATAGAGCTTTATTCGCTTCAATAATATCTACAAAGCAAAAAAGCTAATCTGAAACTCATTGTCAAAATTTATTTAATTCTGTAAATAACAGTAAAATGACAAGTAAAACACCCAAGGTCAGAAAAAGTTAATTTGCATAACACAATATAGGTGTCAGAAGAACTGGGCTGTAAAAGGAACCCTGATTATCGTATTAATTTGCAGAAACCATGTTTATCTTATTCATTTCTAGTATGTAGAACAGGGGCTGGCACATAGGGATTGTTTAGTAAATATAAATTAAATAAATGAAAAATATTTACCATGACCAGGTATTCTGTTGCATATGCTAATTGTAAGGTTAATGAGATAATATCTATAGATGCGAAATATGACATTATTTCGACAACTTAGATAAATCTAGTGTTACCTTACTATAATATTGGTCAAATTACTTGCCATCTGGTTGACAGGAAGATATTTTCTTGAACTGGTGAGTAATTCCTTCAGTTGAATACTTCTAAATACTTCCTTCTGATGTCAAACTGGTATATATAAAACTATTAAATAAGTATATATAAAACTATTTAGGATTCAGGTAATTGTTTTTATTTTGTTACTAAATTTTGACTTTTGCTTTGGATCTATAACTCTCTCATTCCATATCCAAATCTCTATCTCTATCTCTATCTCTATCTCTATCTCTATCTCTATCTCTATCTCTATCTCTATCTCTGTCTCTATCTCTATCTCTCTATCTCCATCTCTAGCTATATCTATATCATCTATCTATATCTATAGCTATATCTGTATATCATCGCTCTCTCTACACATGTTCAATTTGTCCTCAGTGAATTTTTCAATGTTATTTAATACAGTATATAAAATATAATGCATTATATTATATATGCAACAGTTACATTTATGTAATGCTTTTAAAACAGCAATGGAATCTTAGTATTAACTAATATATTACAGGTATATAGCATTTTAGAATGTTTAAAAGGGTGTTAAAAAGGCAAAATCTCTCTTCACAGAGAGAACTTCAATTCATTTGGAGTTCTGCAAGGGCAGAATATTTCCAAATAATGTTATTCACTATGAGAATAGAAATCGATCATCTTAGAAAAGTCAGATGCCAAGGTTTTTGGCATGTTATTTATTTATTTATTTATTTAAGGGAGCAGCTCCTACAATGTGTTGTGAAGAGGGTATAGGATCAGAGCAATCAATCTATGTGCCAATAGACTTGATTTCTAGTGCCATCTTTGGCACATGGATTGTGGGTTGCTTCCTGAACTAGAAAATGGTTCTTGGCCTCTCTCTTGACAGTGCATACTTTTAAATGGGATTTGAATTAAATGCTCTGTTCAAGGTTGATAGTCAGCCAGTGCATAACTATGACAGTTGTGATTAATTGTGCCACTTCCCATTTAAAGCTGTTTCTCCTCTGTCATTTAACTTCTCAATGACTATTATTATGGATCAACCATGAAAATTAGCTTTTGTCCATTATAGTCTTGGACCTATAAATGAAATGTGGTATTGAGTTTAAAGCTATTTTGTAAGTTCTACTTTCCCATTTTATTAATTTGTGTTCCATTACAATAGAAATTTATGGTTTTATTGCTATATTGACATGATGCCTTCATCTGATATTTAGGAGCAGTTTCACTGAATGTTTCCCTCTATGTCTGACTGGGTTGAATAGTTTGAGCCCTCTGTGTGTGTGTGTGTGTGTGTGTGTGTGTGTGTGTAGAAACTGAGCATTTGATTGTACTTAAATGAGGGAGTCAAGGTAAGTTGAGATAACATCACACGTATTTTCAGAAAGAACTAATTCATCCTGCTAAGCCTATTCAAACAGTCCTATTTTCTTATTTCTCTTGAATTAATATCCCAATCATATTTCTGCCCTCTTCATTTCACATCAGCTCTTTGCATGTCATACGATTATATCATTTCATCACTGTGCTTCTCTGGCTAAAGTAAGAGGAGCTGGCAAAGAACATGTGATGCCTCAGAATTAACATGACATTAATTCTTCTTGGAGCATGAATTTTGGTCCATAGTAAGTAATTGAAAAGACTACCTTTATATTATAACAAAATCAGATGAGAGAAAAGAATGAAATTCTGTAAGATCTTTAAAAGTAAAACATAATATTTCTAAGAAATTGTGCAATTACAGCATCTACTAGATTATGGAAGACAGCACCAGATCCCCTGAGGGCATGCCAGTGTGCTTGTGTCTGTCATTACCGATACTGTAGTGGGCACAGATGAGAAGAACTGTGACTTGGTATTATGGGCATGTGGGGTGACAGAAGGATGTCTTATTATAAAGGTTAGAGAAAAGCAGTGGAAATTTATGAGTTACAAAATATTCTCTGAGTTGGGTTATTTAAAAATAAAATGAAAGATTGCCATATCACCTATTTAAACTCCAGATAACACTCTTATATTTCTCCTTAAATATCATTTTTAGAGTTCAGCTATTGCTGGTCTTCATGCTAGCCCTAAATTTTTGCCTTACTTAGCCACAATTTAACGTTCTGCGTCATGGTAAACAGAACCATCACCTAAATTGATAGTGAGGAGCATGAAGTTGGAAAGACAGATTCTTTATAAAACCTAAAATTTGCATTATTTATATAGAGATCATCTATCTATACAAACAGATAACACGGGGTACAAAAAGCTATAGAAAGACCATGGGCTTTAGAATCAGAGAGATTTTTGGTGTCAAACATTGTCTCTATTATTTAACAGTTTTGTTGTTGGGCATTTGCCCAACTTGACCACTTTAGCCTCAATTTCTCTTCCCTAAAATGACAACAATAGCGCTCTCACTGAGCTGTTGTGAGAAGTAAAAGAGATAATTGATGTCAACAATTGGACACAGAGAAGGCACTCCATAAACATTAGATTACCTCCTCCCAGCCCTGACTTAAAGTAGCTCATCCAAAATCATGTAGCCTGAGTTTGATCTTGGGCCCATTTCCTGTCAGATATTTCTTCCTGTTCTGTGTGCTGCTTCTTTCTTTTTTTCCCCCCTTTTTTTATCATTATCCCAGGACTGGTTGTAAAATGTTCCATTTAACATTGTCAGTTGACTCAGCTCTTAGGTACTATAATTTTATTTTAGTAGCTTATAAACTTTTATTGTCATAATTCACATTTGTGCCATTTTTCATCTGACATTTCTAGTAGCTGATTGAAATCAGTAGTATCCTTGCAAAAGGAGATAAAGGGAACACTTTAGGTCTAGAATGAAACTAACTAAACTTCTCCAAATCTTAGGTTGGGTAGATGGGAAGATGAACAACATGAGAAGAGTCTGAGGAATAGTAAGTGACAATTGTTAACGCTCACAGTGAACCCTAGTTAAACACTTTAATGGTATTACCAGCTAGTTACTAATAAGTGTAGATCATTGAGATAATGCAACACACAAAATATTTGAACTTGTTCAGAAGTCCCCCAAATAGTTCTTGTTTAGCTAGAGTTATTTGTTCATTTTAAAGAAACCCTCAAACAAATTCAAAAGAATATAAGCACCCCTATGTTCACTGCAGCACTATTTACAATAGCCAACATTTGGAAGCAGCCCAAGTGCCCATCAGTAGATGAATGGATAAAAAAGTTGTGGTACATTTACACAATGGAACATTACTCAGCCATAAAAGGGGTGGTGGGGGTAGGATCTTACTTTTTTTGACAGCATGAATGGACCTGGAGAGTATTATGCTAAGTAAAATAAGCCAGTTAGAGAAAGACAAGTACCATATAATTTCCCTTATATGTAAAATCTAAAGAGCAAAATAAACTAGCAAAGTGGAAACAGACTCATGAATAGAGAAGACAGACAGACAGTGGTCAGAGGGGAGGGAGTTGGGAGTTGGGAAAGAAGGGTGAAGGGATTAAGCAAAGAAAAGAAAGTCTCAAGGACACAGACAACAGTACAGTAGGGTGATTACCAGAGGGAAGGGTGGGTAGGGGAAGGTAGAAGAGGGCAAAGGGGTGATACATGGTGATGGAAGGAGACTCATCTTAGGGTAGTAAACACAATACAATGTACAGGTGATGTTTTATAGAATTGTATACCCAAAACTTATATAATTTTATTAACTAATGCCACCCTATTAAATTCAATAAAAAAGCAATGAAATACTTTTTATAATGAAAAAAATAAAACCATTTAAGAAATTTTTGTGTACCAGGAAATGGGCTTTCTAATTTGCTCAAGAAAAGGAACTCATAGATTAATAAGGGAGACATGGGAACAGGTAATTATTCTGGAGTATTAGACTTTATAGATATTAAATAAAATCTTTCTTTTTATCTTAAATTTTCATGATCATTTTAGAAATGAAAGGACTATAGATTATTTAGACTAGTTCTTGTGTTTTACAGATTAAAGGGTGAAGGCACAGAGAGGTAAGGTGAAGCATCTCTTAGTCAAACCCCTATTTTCTTACTGTTATAACAACGACACCTCTGGAGCCTCCATGGTGTTAATGGAATGACCACTTTTAGAGCTTTTCTTAACATCTTCTCAACCATTTAAAAACATCTGGACAACAGACTTTGAAGTAGCTTGCCCTAAATACCCTCTAAAATACTTATGACAACATTTCCACCTAAACCGCAGGATTGACGTTCAACCTGTTGTGAAAATCTTAGTCTTTTACACTACATTGAAGGCTTTTGAAGATGGACTGTGGCACACATGGTGACTTAAATAAGCTGTGATACTATACACAGCACAGTGTTGCTAATATGAAAGAACAATGTATTTTATTCCTGTCCCACGTTACGCCTGTATTGTGAGGCCCCAAATTTTATGTGCTACCTTTATGTTGTTGAACCTCGCAGGGCACCAGAATCCTCAGCACTTGTTTCCCTGCTGTCCCCAGATAAGCTTCCCACCCAGGGGAGCCCCC